GGAGCTGACGGTGCCGTGGCGATGGAGATCCATCTGGACGGTCAGGAGCAAGTCCCTGGGCTGGGGGACGGGCTTGGTGAGGGCCACCACCCCGCTGTGGGGGCTCACCTTCCGGGTGGAGAAAAAGCCCTCCTCATTGCCCCCGGTGATGGCCAGCTGCATGCTGTCCCCAGGGACGGTACTGGAGGGGCCCATGCGGAAAACCACCGCGGGCACTCGGATGTTGGTGGGGAGGGAGAGGTGGTAGAAGGTTATTCTCAGAGGCAGCTTGGGGCACTCGGCGTTCTCATGGCAAGGCAAGCGCTCGCAGCGGCTGCAAGACAAGTGGGCACAGACACGAGACGAGCGTTAGGGCGGACCCAGCAAGCAGAGCAACCAGAGCGCGGGCAAGCGGGGGCGAGCACCCCTCACTCACCTGGGGGAGGCGCCGGGGACTCGGGCCGCTGACTCAGGCGCCAGCCTCTTCCAACACCCTCAGGGGGCGCTGGTGGGTGGCTGGGGGCCAAGGGCTGCGCAGGGCGAGGTGCGTCCCTTCTCACGCAGAGCCCCACCCCGTGCACCGCAGGCACGCCCTGCCCTCCTAGGGGCTCCCGAGCCCACAGTGGCCCTGGGAGGGGCTGGCTGATGGCTGCCGCGAGGGCCTGTGCCAGCCGAGCAGCCCTCACCGTGCCCCGCCTGGCATCCTAGTGTGAGCTCTACAAGCAGTCCTCATGCTGGCCCAAGTGCCAGGTTTCAGGTAAGGAAACTCGGCCCAGAGAGCAGTGGCTTCCCGAGGTCACAGAGGGAGGGGAGCCAGGTCGGTGTGGGGGCAGCGACGCCATCAACTCCCCAGCCCCCGAAGCCACTAAGCTGTGGGCTCCAGGCCCAGTTTCCTGCCTCGGCCCACAGAGCCAGCTCAGAACGGAGACAAAAGGATCAAGAAAACCACCAACAACAAATGCTGGAGAGGCTGTGGGGAAAACGGAACTCTCCCGCACTGTTGGTGGGAGTGTAGACTGGTGCAGCCACTGTGGAGGTCAGTCTGGAGATTTCCTCGTGGGACTGCAAGTCCCATTCGACCGAGCTATTCCACTTCTAGGCATATTCCCAGAAGAGCTGACAGCATCATACCACAGTGATATATGTGCACCCATGTTTATAGCAGCACAATTTGTAATAGCCAGATCTTGGAAACAATTTAAGTGTCCATTAACTGAGGAATGGATGAAAAAGTTGTGGTATTTTTATACAATGGAGTACTACTCAGCTATAAAGGATGATCACAGTGAGATATTTATAAATAAATGGGCACAATTTGAGACCATACTTATAAGCGAAATAAATCAAACTCACATGTATAAATACCGTATCATCTCCCTAGTGTAAGAAATTGTAAGAGTACGTAAGAGTTCATGGTAATCATGATTCCCCATTACATTGCTTTGAAGCCTTATAATAATTGCATTCATTAGTTGGAATGGTTTTATCCTGGTTTGTTTGATTTTATTATCGTGATAGTATGAACAGCTATTTTGATAAAAACAAGACACTGATAGCCAGTGCTGATTTAGTATCATCTTACTCTGAAGTCCCACCATGCTTTTGTTCCTCTGTTTCCAATGGTTCTATCATATTGTATCTTATTGGATTTTATTATATGTGATAGTATAAACAAATTTTCTATGGAAAATGAGATAATATAGTAACCATTGTTCATTCTCTTTTATTTGGTTCTGAATGCCCTGTAATACTTTCATTCTCTTTAATGGTTTTAAACTATTTTGTTATATTTGATACTATTGTATATGAAATTATGCTCAACTATTTCAAACAAAGAGACATTATGTTAGTTCCTGTTAATCACAGGTTGTCTTGAGGTGAAATACTGCGTTGCTTACATTGTTCTGTTCTGATCTGCTTTGCTATGTCCTCTTTTGTCTTAATCTCTTTAAAATTAAAAAAAATTAAAAAAAAAAGAATGGAGACAAAGACAGGTTCCGATTTCCCTCGATGGGACCCAGTTTCCCATGGCAGGACGGGGACAGAGCAGAGACAGGCCCTGGCTTCCTGAGACAGGACAGGACAGCGACCCTCTTCTAGTGATTAGATAAAAATGGGCCCTAACTTCCTGTTACAGGTCCTAATTTCCTGCGACAGGATGGTGACAGGAAGCCAGTGTCTTCTGAGTCCAGAACCGCAGGCCCATCCCATTCCCAGAGCAGTGTGACAAGGTGCAGAGCCGCCCAGGACCTGGCCAAGCCATCCTGGGCCTGGTCTTCCACCCAGGCGTCCTCTCTCCTGGGCTCTGTCCTATGTCCCTCCTGGTCTTTTCAGTCTCCAGTGTCAGCTAGGTCACTAGGCCTTAGTCTGCGGTGGGCTCGCAGTGGGACTGTATCTGTCACCACCCTGTTTTGGGGCTGCTCGGGGCACACACAGGAAGCCTTTCCCGTTCTCGGCCTCTCCATGCTGGCTCCAGCTGGGACAGCACGGGGGATGAGGTCCACGGCCCTGGGGATGTCAGGCGGGGAGCAGAGGGACAGCACGCTGCAAAGGGACGGCCACCTCCAACACACCCAGGTCCAGGCCCAACAGGAGCGTTCCTGTGACCAACAGACTGTCCTACCCGAGAGAGAGACTGCTGCGGGGCTGGGCCTGGGGGCGCGTGGGGGACCCGCTGTGCTCGCTGAGGCCGCCTCCCCAGCTCAAAATTCCACTGTCCCCAGCGTCATCCCTGGGTTTCTACTGGTGGAAAGAGAGGGGACAATGACCTGTCAGTACCTCCACGGTCTGTGGCCAGTAGCAGGTTTGGGTTTCAAAGCCAGACTGTCCCCTTCACAGCCTTCACACACACACACAGACACACGCGCACACACACACACACACACACTGCGTACACTGCCGCCCATCGCCTCGGGACTGGCCTGGCTGAGTCCAGCCAGCAGGTGGCGCTAGTCCCCCACGTGGGACTTCCCTTTCCGAGGGGAGGCCAGCCTGGCCTGCAGAGGGGCACGGCAGCGCATGCTAAAGACGAAGGGTGGGTGGTGTGTGCAACGTCCTGGGACAGTGGCGGCAGCGACAGCCCAAAGCTGGACACTCTCAGGGGTGGCTCACAGCGGTGGGGCACCCAGCACAGCCACAGACACAAGGTGTCCTGGGGCCACTGGCCACTCACCCTATAGGGTAGCAGACGGGCCCCCCACTTTACCTCCTGGGCTGTGCCCCTGCTGTGCACCCCATAAGAGGCCACCATGCAGGTACACTTGCCCTCGATTTTTCTGGTCAGTCCCAACATCAGTGACACTGTCCTGCTGTGCCCCAAACCTACTAAAACACCCCCAGATCGTAATCGCTGGCTCTGGCAAACTGCTGCCAGCTGGGAACGGCACGGGAGTTCTTGTCATGAATGTGTCTGGATCGGAGCCGAGCTGTGCCACAGAAGCGATGCCCGAGCACCTCCCAGGGGCCAGGCTCCCGACTTCCACGGGCAAGCCTCCCTCATCACACCGGGCACCCCAGGACGAAGTGGCCAAATTTTCCAGCTCAGCACATTCGACCCCAGCACCCCGGTTCTCTGAAGATCAGCGAGAGCCACCTCCAATGACAGCCATGCAGCCTTAAAGGCTACTCCCTGGCGACAGACAGCTCAGACACGGCCACTGGGGCAGCCCCCATGACTCACTGGCTTCTCATTCTGGGAAGGCGCCCAGGCGCTGAACAGAAGCCCTCGAGGGCTCTACCCTCTACTCCCTGAGCTGGTCACTCATGTCCCTTCCCCACAGGAGGTGGCAGCTTTCGTGACCCTTGACACTGAGGGGATAGAATGTCCCATGTCCCCAGCCCCACCACTGGCTCCCGACACATCCGGCTGTGGGCAGCAGGGCATTATGTGGTCAGGAGCTTCACAGCCCAGGGCCCAGGCTCAGCCCTGTGGTTTGCCGCCTGGTCAGCAGGGCCACACTCCAGACGTTCCCCTGGGGCTGCTGGGGACACTACCTGGATAGAAGCCACACAAAGCTGGGAATGGCTTTCACACCTTCCCCTTGGAGGCTCTGCAAGGTCTTCCGGCACTGAACGCTAACCTAACACGGGGCTCCCTGGATGGGGAGCAGCACCCCCTCCTTGCCCGCCCGGCCCCTCGGTCTGTGTCTGCTGCAAACTTGCTTAACCTCCTGATTGGCGACGTGGCCCCTGCAGTCCCGAGCAGCACTTGAGTTGGCTGGAGCCACCAGGCTGGAAAACCCCCCTACAGATCCCAGTTGGAGGTTGCAGTCACCAGGTGCCTCCCCACCTTGGCCCAGCAAAGAAGGAAGTTGTACCCAGGGTAGCAACTCAACCTCACGCCCTTCAAGAGCTGCTTCCGATCGTCCTGCCCGAAGCTGAGCCTTCAGCACAGCCACGGCCATGGTCACGGATCAGGCACGTCTCGGGCACACACCCACAGGGTGAGCTTTATGGAGGACAGCAGAAGGTCACAGGGACCCTAGGGGGATGTGGAAGAGGACATCACCGCCTCTTCTAGCTGAGAACAGGGGGCTCCAGGAAGCCCAGAAGTCTGTCCAGGTTCAGGTGACCTGGAAGGAGTCCCTGGACACACCAGGGACACTTGGTGGCCAGGGAGGCAGTGAGCTGACAGCACCCCAAGTTTAGCACACAAGATTTCCTATGCTGTTCTTGCTGTGGCTCGGCGGTTTGGGACCTGGCTTTCGGGCAGCTCTGGGGCCGTGAGGGGGGCTCTGCCTAGTGACAAAGCCCGGGGTCACCGGGGCTCCTCTCTCAGCTGACAGGGACCGCTGCCCGTTCATCTGAGTTCTGCACATGAAGGAACTGAGGTGCAGAAAGCTCGCTCAACGGCACAGGAGGCCACGACAGGGCGCGGGCAGGACACTGGCCTCAGACACACTGGCGCGGGACACCAGCATCCCCTCTGCCGAACGAGCCTCCAAGACCCCGGGGACGCAGCACAGAGGCTCCCCAGCCCTGAGCTCCGCAGGCGGCACCGACGACGCGGCCGAGGGACTTACGTGTCTCCGGAGCGGCGGTAGTTCTCGGGGCACTCGAAGGCCAGGCAGCGGAAGCCGCCCTGGATGTTGAAGCAGGTCTCATTGACAGAGCAGTTGTGGATGCCGGTCACACACTCGTCGATATCTGCGAGGACACAGCAGGAGAACCCAGAGGGTAAGTGATCATTTAAAAAGCAAACTGCAGGGCAGACGGTGGAAAGGCGGAGGAGCTCGTGGATGGGAGGGAATCTAGGGGTGCACGGGGCGCGGGAGGCCAGGGAAGGGAAGTAAAAGGGCACGATGCGGTGTGCACGGGTACCAACTCTTCACAGCGCGTACATTCACTGTATGTTGAAAGCAGGTACTGATCAATCAGTCAATCAATGGCATCCCACCTATAGGCAGCTGCCAGGTCCTCCCTCCACCAGGCGCGTGGGTCAGTGTTACGGCCTGTGTCAGGAGGTCCCCAAAGCCTCATGCGGTCATAGCTGGGCTTTTCAGAGATGGCCAGGCCTAGAGCATGTGGTGCTGGGATCGAATCTTGGTGCCAAGCGAGGATCAAGGGCACTAGGACTGAGGGTGCTGCCCACCCCGAGTAGCCTGGACAAAGGTAAAGGGGTCAGAAAGAGCTGTGGTCACCCCTGTTGTCTGGCTGCCTTCTGCCCACCATGGTCTGTTTCCCCTCTTCCACACCTCCCTGCCTGGGAGCCAGCGATTACGGACAGAAACCTCTGCAAACTGAGCTGTACAACCCTTTCCTCCTCCCCTCCCCTGTGGGTGTCGGGTGTTTCGTCTCAGCACTAAGAACTAAGACAGCCAGGTCGTCCTTGCCCTCCACAGCTCTGCCGGGTGCCCAGTCCCTCTGTCCCAGGACATCTAGCTCCTGGGTCAGCTAACAGCGCCTCCAGGAAACACAAGATGCCCCGGGCAGGGGCAGGGTGACAACTGGCTGTCCCCTTTCCGTGAGCACAGAGAGGAAGGGACTCGGCCGTGGTCACCTGTCTGCCAGTGGCACAGCTGAAGGCAGGCAGGCAGGCACCAAAGCCCGAGGACTAAGTCCCCAGCACCCTCATCTCACGGGGGACACGTTACATCTGGGGCGCGGGAGAGAGGGCTGAACATCTTCCTGCTTGCAAAAGATCTGTCCTGTTCCCTGGGCTCTTTCACTGTGCTCTTATTTATACGTTCATTTCTCACGTGAGGGAAAGCACGCTATTTAACTTGTGCGTCTGTCTGGTTTCACAGAACACTATGGTCTCGAGGAGCAGCCGTGTGTCTGCAAGTGACCCCGTCGGTCCCTCCTTACAGCATCCCAGTGCTCCACATTCCTGACCCGTGCATCCATTATGTTCAGGGAATACAATTGCCAATAAAGAAGGAAGACAGGGCAGACCTCCAGCCCCACCTCACAGCCTTCGGGGGGGGGGGGGTGACTCCCCGCGTCACTTTTGGAGAGGTGACTTTTGGAGCTGGATGGGGACCAGGCCTGGGACTCTTGCCCTGGGGCCTAGGGTTCCATAATGAGAGACCCCTGGAGGAGAGGACCCCACCCCGACGCTCCCGGGCTGCCCAGGGGTGGGCGCAGGAGTCCGGGAGGCGTCCGCTGAGAGATGCCAAACATTTGATGCTCGGTGGCAAAAACACCACTCCCGGATGGCCAAGGCCTGGCTCAGTAATGTGTTTTTGCTGCCTTGGCCGGGACCCTGGCTGTGGTGAGGGAGCCGTGCCAGGAGGACAAGAAAACAAAGGGGTGCCGTCCAGTCCGGTCCGGTCCAGGCCGGCTCCGCTCCCACCCTGAACCCACAGCCCCACCGCCTCGGATCCCGTCCCCCATGCGACCAGCTGTGACAGCTTGGGGGGTCTGGGACAGGAGGGCACATCCTCAGGGACCTAGAGGCACTGCTCTTGGTTACTAAACAAAGATGGTCCTGGACCACAGGGGGACCCAGCTAGTTCTTTGAAAAGGGGCTGGGCTGGGCTCAGCAGCTCAAATGCTTGCCTGTAAGCACAAGGTCATGAGTTCCATCCCTGCTACCAAAAAAAAAAAAAAGAGGGGCCCCACCGTGGACCCCACAGCCCCCCGCATGGAGCACACACAGAACCTAGCCCTGTACGAGAGTCCACAGCAGGAGACCTCGGGTCCCCACACACTGCCCCACAGCTGGCCCCTTACTGTGACACTGGCAGGCGGGCAGCTGGGGACTGAGGACCCCTGGGCCAGCTCACTGCACTGCCCCGGGGCCTAGGCACCAGCCAGCGTCTGTCAAGGACCAGCTGTCCCAGCCAGCACTGTGCTGGGGGGGTCTTCCAGGCACTGACCCCCACTTTATGCCACAGAGCCCTATTATTCAAGGCTGGGCGGGGTGCTAGGGACAAGGGCGTTAGCCCGGCCATGGCTTGGATACTGCAGCTCGAGGCAGGCCAGGGCGGCAGGGCCCACCATGCTCACCTTGGCAGTTGCGGCCATTGGGTGCCAGCCGGTAGCCGGTCGATGGGCAGCTACACTGGAAGCTTCCGGGGATGTTGATGCAGCGGTAGGAGCAGATGTGGCCCCCGGTGGGCAGGGCACACTCGTCAATGTCTGCAAAAGCACAGACACCCTCAGCATTCCTGTCCTCGGGTGCAGCCGTGGATACCAGGCAGCCACATCCCCCAGGGGCCAAGGTGGGCAGGGAGGGGACACAGACGGAGGGTGCAGGGTGCTGGGGGTGGCCTCCAGGGCCATCAGGTCACGGGAGGAAACTGAGGCCCAGGGAAGGGATGTGCCGAGCCTAGGTCACACAGCAAGGTAACGGTGTGGAGCGTGCCAGGAGCAGAGGTGAGAGAGGGCGGCGAAAAGCCGCCTCTCTTGGGATTCTCAGCTGTGTCCCTCAACCAAAGTGCTCGGGACCAGAAGTGATTCTGGTTTTTCTGCATTTTGGAGTATTTGCCTGTATGTGACAAGGTATCTTGGGGACAGGACTAGAGTCTAACCATAAAATTCATTTATGTGCCTTGGCACAGTGGTACATGCTTGTAATCGCAGCACTCAGGAGGCTGAGGCAGGAGGATCACTACGAGTTCAAGTCCAGCCTGGACTACAAAGTGAGCTCAAGGCCAGCCTGAACTGCATAGTGAGACCCTGCCTCAAAAAGACAAAAAGACCAAAAAAAAAAAAAAATTGAAAAATCAATTAAATTCCATATCCACCTCACACACATAGCCTGAAGGCATGTGCATGAGTTTTGGGTGTTTTTACTGACAGTCTTGCTATGCAGTTCAGGCTGGCCTTGAGCTTACTTAGTAGCCCAGCCTGGCCTCCCAGCAATCCTCCCGCCTCAGCCTCCCAAGGGCTAGGACTGCAGATGTGTGCCACTACACCTGTGGTATGTGTAGTATCCCTGCATTCTTTGGGGGTTTTGGGTAGTGGGAGTCTTCACACTGAGCTACATCCCTGGCCCTTTTAAAATTTTTTGTTTTAAGGCAGAGTCTCACTAAGCAGCTAAGCTGCCCAGGCAGCCAGGCATGCGCTCTCCATCCTCCTGCCTCAGCCTCCCAGAGTGTGGGGGTGACTGATCAGGCCACCACCACTGAAGGTGGGTTGTTGCTCTTATTTCCAGTGGGAACTTCCTGGTCCTGCTGCCAGGTCTTGAACCCAGGACCTCGCACACGCTGGGCAAGCACCCCACCACCCCTCGGGCCTGCGCTGCCTGTTTTCCGTGCGCCTGCTTTGACTGTAGCCTGCCACACGAGGTCAGGCATGGAATTTCCCACTTGGGGTGTGTGGTCACCGTGATGTTCAAAAAGCTTGGCGGCATTTTGGATGCTGAAGTTTTAAATCAGGGCTGCTGATGCTAGAGTCACAATCACAATGACAGTCATGCTTTAGGCGCCTACAGGGCTGGGGAGGCGCACAGTGGTGAGTGCTCACCCTGCCTGTGTGACACCCCCAGTTCCACCCCCAGCACTGCAGAAACAAAGCAGCACAGCTAGGTGCCACCAACTTGGTGTCTAGTTCCATCACCCTGGGACAGCCCCGCAGGACAGAGGACACAGACTGGGCCCCGAGAGGGAGGGGCTCTGCAGAGCCCAGCGGCAGAGTTGGGACCTAGGCCGCAGTGGCCAGCGACCTTCCTCACCACCCAGGCCCTGGCCCCTGGGGCCTGTGGCCACCACTGCCACACTGAAGGACACTCTCAAGGCAAGCGAAGCGTCTTCAGTTAAATCCCAGCCACTGGCAGAGCAGCAGCCCACCCGCAGGACAGAGGGAGCCAGCAGCCGTTCCCTGCGGACTGTGAAATGCAGTCCACAGCGGCCAGCATGGGCAGGGGCAGGGAGCAGGGGGCAGGGGGCGCCCTCACCTTCACAGGTGACACCGTCCAGGTCGCTGAGCTGGTAGCCGCGGCGGCAGTAGCACTGGTAGGAGCCGTAGACGTTGGCGCACTCCTGGCTGCAGGGGCTGCTAAGGCACTCGTTGACATCTGCAAGACGGGGCCGGGTGGGTCTGCTCAGATGTGGGGGGTCCTGCCTCCAGGGCAGACTTCGTTCAAGGCGGTGGGTGCAGCAAACAGAACTCTCTCTCCACCTCCCACATGCAGAGGCAAAGGTGTTGGGGTGCAGGGCTCGATCTGCCAGGTTCCCCCTGAGAGAGAGGAGCCCACTTTGGCCCTCTCGGTTGGACAATGTGGATTCTCTGTCCCTGCCACAAGCTGCACCTCTCCAGTCTCCGGCTCCCCACAGGCCACCAGGGTCCATCCTAGTTCTCGGCAGCAATCTGCTCTTGTCCTCCTGGCTCTGCTCCCCAGCCATCATCCCGCACAGATGACAGCTCATGACCTAGCCCATGGGATCACACAGATACACAGATCTCAAGAAGCCCCTTAGCAACTCTGGGCAGTGGCTCACCAGGGCGCCTTGCTTAGAGCAGAGGTCAGCCCATGCCAGCCAAACACGGCCCACCACTTGTTTCTTTTATAAATAAAGTTTTATTGGAACACAGTCACACACATTCTTTTGCCATGGCCTATGGCTGCTTTTGGGGGTGTTGTCAGAAAGACCAATGGTCCCTCTGAGCTTGCAGAGAGAAAACACGCCCCTTCCCAGCCCCGTTCTCCCATTAGCATTGCTGCTTCTTAGCAGGGCAGGGGGAACACCCACTGCTGGCCTGGTGCCCCTGTGCCCAGTGTGATTCTGGTCACATCCTAGGCACACTGCCTGGACAGGAACTGGGGACTGCCATGCACCTGGGGCGGGTGCATCCGAAATCTTACTGGATGACACCAGCCAGCCCTCACGGGGTCCACAGGAGCGAACGTGAGAGACCAGGGGAAGCACAGGCCGGGCCTGTTGTAATAGTGAAAGCCAGGGATCTCCAGGGCACCAGCAAATGCAAGTTGCTTCTTCACAAATGGCCACAGAAATGGCAAAACTGGACCGCGGACACAGCTCAGCAGTACTGCGCCTGCCTGGCAAGCGTGAGGTCCTGAGTTCCATTTCCAGTACCAAAAAAAGGCAAAAATGAGATTGGAGCCCGGAACTGAGAGGCTCTTGGTGTGGGGACCCTGGTGCTTTGTCAAACGTGCTTGCTGGATCTGTGCGGTTAGGACACCTTAGGCTCCCCAGGGATCCCAGGATCTGCGGCCCATCATGCCACCCCCGCCAGGGCCGCTGAGGCCCAGCAGGTACACCTGGAGGACAGAGCCCACTCCTGCGGCCGGCTCAGCGGAAAGGTTCCTGCTCAACAAAAAGGCCAAGAACCCGCTGGGTTTTGAGTTGCATGCTGGGCACGGCATCAGTGTGGCATGGACAGAGTGCGGGGCCACGGGGGAATGAATCCAAAGCTCGCTCACCCTGTGCCTGTGTGAGCTGTGACACACTCAGAGCGCCGTGACCTGCCAGGCCCGCAGCTCTGCGGCTCCAAAGAAAGTCGGGGCACACGGGAAGTCTCACGTCCCAGGAGACTGGACCACGTCTGGCCTGGCCAGGATTGGTCCCAGGTGCCATCCCCAGGCAAGGATGTCAGGCCTGCTTAAAATGCCAGCCTGAGAAAGCTCATGCTGCCCCTTCCACAGCCCAGGGACATCTTGCTCAAGCCCTTGGGGTCACCCCCTTGGAGATCACTGCAGGAAGGCCTGGAAGCCACCTCCCCGCCTCTGGAAGGGGACATGCCCAAAGTCCAAAAGGACCAGTGAGCTGCCAGGGGCCGTGCCCGTGCCCTCTGTGCCTTCCACTCTGCCACCATGTCCAGCATCTGCCAAGCCTTGGGCCTCAGTGGCCTGGAGTCTGACATGTCAAGTCACAATGGCCGCGAGGAACTGAAGAACAGAGACCAGCTGTCCCTAAGGTTGCTGACATTGGACCCTCTGCCTCTACACCCGCCACCCCAAGGCCGTGTCACCAGGAGCAATCAGGGCCTGGGGCCGCCCCTAGACACAGAGCCTCATTTTGCAAGCCCGTCCCCCATGACCAGGCCACTTAATGGAGCTGGGAAGGAGCCCCGGCAGCCCCCATGGGCCTGCAGAGAAGGGCTCTCCACTGCCCCCCGCCTGCCCGTGCCCTGTGCACCTTCACACGACCGGCCGTCGACGGACAGCCGGAAGCCCACGGAGCAGCTGCAGTGATACGAGCCCGGTGTGTTCTCACACTTGTGGCCGCACAGGCGTCCGGCATAGCGCTGGCACTCGTTGATGTCTGGAACACAGGGACACGAGGGACGCAGCTCAGAGCCCCTGCCACACACGGCGGGGCTGTATCCCACCTCCGTCACCTCCTCAGCTTCGCTGCTCAAACAGCAGGAAGAGGGCTTGTCCCAAACACAGGCGGTCACAGTGTGACAGCATCCCACCAGCCCTCTACCCAGTGTCCACGAGGAAGGGCCACGGAGACCCAGCACAGGGGACATGGGCGGGGAGCACCCTGGTTTGGTGAAAGCAAGCAGGCCGGCCGGGGTCTGAGCCCACTGCTGCCCAACCCTGGCTCCCCCACCACCCACTGCCCTGTGACCTGAAGCCAGATGGGACTCTGGGAAACTCCTAACACTTTGGGGTTTTTTGCAGCACTAGGGACTGAACCTAGAGCCCCCGACACTAGGCTGGCACGCTACCACTGCGCTACGTCGGTGGCACGTTTTATTGTATTTAAGACCCTCCCGCCTCAGCTCCTGAACCCTGGGATGACAGATGTGCACCAATGCCCGGCTGTAACACTCTGCCATCTGGAGACCTGGGCTCAAGCTCGCAGATTAAAGCCAGGCAGAGCAGCTGTCCACGGCACGAAACAGGCTCGTGTCAGGCCCTGGCCGTGGCCGCCAGGTGAGGAGCACCCAGCGGGGTCCCTGACTGCCCTCGAGGGGGACTTCCCGATGTGCGAGAGCCAGCGCATACCCACACATGTCCTGCTGATGCTGTCGAAGTAGTACCCAGCCTTGCAGTCACAGCGGAAGCTGCCAGGGGTGTTGAGGCAGCGATGCCCGGGCCCGCAGGGCTCCGCAGGGGCCGCACACTCGTCCAGATCTTGAAAGGAGAAAGAAAACGCACTGAGGAAGCTCGAGGGCCCCGTCCCCAGCCCAGCCCCGAGGAGCCAGCTCAGATGCGCCTTTCCGAAGCAGCAGCGCCTGCCCGGTCCCCCACGGAGCCCGCTGCTCTGTGCCAGGCCCACCCCATGGAGGCCTCTCTGGTGGTCAGAAGTGACCTTATGTTGGGGAGTGTAGGGGGCAAGGCTGGCCACGTTCTGGGAGTGCTGGGGAGGAAACTACTTTCCCTGGCCAGGGTCTGGGCTGCCGGCTGCCCCCAGTTCCAAGGAACACAGAGCAGGTGGGCAGAGGACTGACGGCAAAGCCAGTGCAGCTTGGGGAGGGTCCCCTGTGGACAACGGACCGGTGAAGCTGGGGCCACTCAACGAGACTGAATGGTCCACACCTGTCCTTTGTGGCCAGAGGACGGGCTGAGGCGCTACTGCAACAGTCCAGGCAGGACACTAAAGGTCTGCACTGGGCAGCTGCAAGGGATGCACAGAAATGGCTTCACTCTGGGCCCAGCTCTGCCTCGGGGTGTGTGTGTGTGTACAAGTCAGCCTCAGCCCTGTTCCCCCGTTTTTGATACCAACCAACACAGCGAGTGCCCTCCTCGTTGAGATGGTAGCCACGGCCACAGTTGGGCACGTTCTTCTGGCACGTGTAGGAGCCCTCCGTATTGATGCAGGCCTGCCCAGCAGGGCACGGGGCACTGATACTTAAACACTCATTGATATCTGCCAGGGAAAGAGGGGCGTCGAGGTTACACGGGGCGGGGGCCTCCATCCCGGAACCCAGCGACTGCATCTCTAAAGCAACCACCTTCTGCCTCTGTACAACTGCAGTCCCTGGACTCTGTGGCGGCCTCCGGGTTGGCCCCAAGGCGGCCTTGATGTCCCTTCCTGTCCTCCTTCTGCCCCGGAGCCTCTGCCATCTTTGCTGCACCAACCAGAGCTGCCTGCCAGCCTTCCTGTGTCCACCAGGCCCAGGGGGGGAGGTGAATCCTTCCCTGTCCCTTTCCCTGTCCCCTGCGTCCTAGCACTGCCACAGCTCTTGGGATGGGCACTCAGAGCCTGGCCCCATCTGCCTGGCAGCCACACCCACGAGACACTCTCATCTCCCGTGTCCCCCCGTGTCCAGGGCGCCTGTGCCGAGTCAGGCCAGTGGAGGACCCTGCAGCCAGCTCAGTTCCCTGCAGGGGTCTCCACGTCTCAGCGTGGGGACAAGGAGACACCGTCTTCCGATGGCAGACACATGGAAGTGTGGGCCCCCAAATAACCACGCAGGACTGGGTTACACTGGATTCGCTCCTTACACCAAATGCAGTGCCAAGAGGCACAAGCCACACCCTCCTGGAGGTGGTACCCCAAAAGTATCCGTGCTGTGCAAATCCCCTCAGAGAGCTTCCTGGCTCAGACACTCCCCAGGCACAGGCGGGTGGGGGGACAAGAAGAGACTGACAGTGGGAGACCTCGAGCTTAAGTTGGAAAGCAGGGCTGGTCCCTGCCGGACAAGCCCCCACTGCAGATAGAGGATGGAGTCAGCCTCCTCTCTCTCCCATCTCCAGGGCCACACTGACAGCTGAGCCCTTCAGGTTATAAAACCTCTCCCAGCCTTTATCTCCCCACCACCAAAGCTAGGCTCTACCAGGCCAGTGTTACTGTTTCCTCTATACTAGGAAACTGGAACCCAGGGTGACTAAGTGACTCCCCACAATCACAGCCCACAGCCAACGTGAGCTCCCTTACAGCAGGGTCACCAGCTGCGGCCCTCTGCTTGTGTTTGTCAATAAAGTTTTATCGGCACCCAGCCAGGCCCGGTCCTTAGGTATGGTCTGCGGCTGTTTCCACAATACGCCTGCTGGGAAGCCGGTACTGCTCCTCCAGCCCTTTCCAGAAAGAGCCCAGTGGCCTGGCCTGGTCTCGAGGACAGACACAGCACTGCATAAAGCGGTCACAGCTCCCTTGAAGGCTCTGGGAGCCTCCCCAGCTCTGCCTCTTCCAAACTGTTCCATGGGACAGTGGTGCCCCTGGAGACACCGAGTGTGCCACAGACCAGGGCCCCTGGCCCGAGAGCCCGGAGACTCAATGAATGAAAGAAACAGAAGGTCTGGGAACCAGGTACAGAGCACAAGGTCTCTTTCTCAGGGGGGATCCGGGGAGCCCAGCAGCCGGGATATACGTGTCTGCTCTCACGTGGGAAGCAAGGAAGCCGGCTCGCGCCTGTCTCCCTGGCCCAGGGAAGAAGGGAAGGCAGGGGTGAGGATTTGAGAAGAAAGAATCGGAAATCCCAGCAAAGACAGAGGCTCTTTGGGAGACAGAGACTCTTGGGGAGCAACCCCAAGGGGCTAGGACTCTGCATTTTGTGATCCTGACCGCCCGGGACTGTTTTGCAAGGGGCTCCTCTGTTACAGGCTGTGTGGCGGGATGGGCGGGACAAGGCCCTGGGGCTGCCCTGGGGCTCCCGAAGATGGGTCTGGGCTGGGGACGCCAGGAGACAGCTGGAGGCCACAGGCAGCCTGTGGCGCCCTCTCGGCTGAAGTGCTCTCTCCACAGAGAACCATTTCCACTGACGGCAGGTGCTAGTGTAAAGACAGGTGAAAGTGTGGACATAAAAGGGTTCCTCCATACATCGATACATCGTCAAGGGAGCGGCAGGACAGCCTGGTCCTGTTTTCAGAAAACAGACCGAGCGCCTGGCTGGGGGAAGGGCCGGGAGGGCGCTTCTGCTCCATGCTTTGGGTTTGCTCCTTCTTTGTAAATGAAGGCGGACGGGACGTTTGCAATAAGCAGATAACTTCTCAGGATGGATCCTGAGTTTAGTGTGGGCAGCTGAAGGAGACCACGCTCACCCGCCCAGGGCAGTGAGCTGAGGGTCAGGCGTCCAGCTTGCAACGCCGAGGGACATCGCTGGGAAACCGAGTGCCACCAGGCTGGGTTTCAGGCAGCCTCCAGGATCCCACCACCCAGGCCGGGCTCTCCCCCAATCTAGGGGTGCACAGAGGGGCACCCTTCTCCCCTCTGCTCCTGCGCCTCGCCCCTTGCCTTGCACGGCACCCCACAGACCACGCCAGGCTCTGCTGAGGTTTGCAAAGGCTTTTCTGGTCGCACGTCAGGCTGACTCTCAAGCTGACTCTGCCAGCAGTCGGGGTTTCCATCCTCAGCGCAGGCAGCCCCTCCGCGGAGCCCCCTCGAGCAGGCCACAAGTCTGACCCTCCCCTCCCAGCCCTGAGGAGCCTGCAGCCTTCCGGGTCACTGTGCCTCAGCGGAGTGACGGCCGTCTCACTGGCAGGAGGCTGGTGAGGGGCCAGCTTTGGTGCTCCCTGGCCTTTCAATATCTGGGTGGTAAAAATGGGGAAAGGGAAGGCGCTTGCACGCCCACTGCAAACGACAGATCAGCCTCTGCTGACCTACACAAAGTTAGGGCAGCACTAAGCCAGAAACGGGCACAGCGGTGCTGGCTTTGAGGCCAAGCAGACCGCGGTCACCCCCTGTGGGCAGCGCTTGGACTGGTGCCACCTGCAGCTAGGTCAGGAGAAAACCTCTCCGACTTCAAAGGGAACAGGGAGGCTTCCCTGGGCAGCGCCCGGACAGGCAGAGCCACCACCTGCCCAGTGGACGCCACACCAACGCACCAGAGGGTCCCACCCCACACGGTTCCTCCACCTGACCTGTCCCACCCAGACTCCCTGAAGTCTACGTCGGATTTTCTCCCTTTTCACACTGGCCTTTCTCTGATAGCAACAGTATTTTCTGTTGTGTAGAAGAAAGTAAACACATACTGTCACGCGCACAGTTAATGGTACCCAGCACAGTGACACTGGGGGGCCACTGTCTCTCTCTCTCTCTTTTGAGTCCAACCACTAAACCCCGCATTTCTGCAAAACAAACTTCAACAGACGCCTGGCTGTGGCAGGGAGCAGGCCCCTACTGAGTGTCTCCTGTGCCCTTGTCACTTCAAAAGCACGCGCTCATCCTCACCTGCAGCCTGGGAGCCAGGCACCCTGTAACACCCGTCTAGAGGCGAAGACTGAGGCTTAGGGGAAGGAAGCAAGGTTCTCAGGCCACTCTGTCTAAAACCAGATGTCTGACTGCAAAACTTAGGCACTTTCATCCAAGACAGAGGTCAGCAAACTACACCTGTGCGCTGAACCCAGCCTGCCACCCGTTTAAGCTTCTATTGGCACTTGGACCAGCCCATCTGCATACGGTCTGTGACTCGGGGCTGTGACTGCAGAGGTCACTGTGACGTCTAAAATACCTGCTGCCTGCCCCTTTCTGGAAAACGCTCGCTGACCCCAGACGCCATATCGTCCCGAGGCGGCATGTCTTACCAATACAGCTGCCTAGAGCATCCTGTATAAAGCCGCTCTTGCAGTGCAGCTTGGGTCTGCAACGGAAGGATCCCAGAGTATTCTGACAGATAAAATCGGGGGGGCAGTTATGAATACCATTCTCACACTCGTCAATATCTGGTGCATCATAAAAAAAGGAGATCGTTAGCAAGGAAACCGCCGGAAACATCTCACAATACTCAACATCACAAGACAGGTGTTTCAAAACAAAAAAAAATTGCTCAGACTATAACCCAAAGCATTCACAGAGGGCACCGCCAAACCATGCCCAGGTCGCTCAAGGCTTGAAACACGGCCTTCCCTCCTCCCCCAGACTCTTCCAAGGCAAGCTTTCTGTTATATAATAAACGGCCCAGGCGTTTTCCTGGCAGATGGATCTAACATTATTCATTAGGGCAGAGCGTGTGTTTACTTTAGATCAGAAAGCAGCTATCTTAGTGGCAATGAACACAATTTCTGTAATCATCCATTCTCAAGTCTGCAGAATATTCCAGAGATTAGCAGTGGTTACATCAGCGGAGGACACAGTAGGCTGCCTGGCCTTAGAGGCCACAGCTGCCAGACACATCCAGATGTGTCTACTCAGCCAGCTGAGCCCTGAGCTTTGGGGCCCAAAGGCCCCAGCTGCGTGCATGGGTGGGGTGGCCCCAGCTTGCTCAAAGGCCAGCAGATGTCAGGAGGGTGTGCCTTGATTTGGAGTCAAACTCATGATTCAACATCGAGATTTTTATACAAATGGTTTTGTTCTGAAAGGCTTGAAGCCCCGTGCAGAGAATTATGTTCTAGAAGGTCCTCATCAGAGCCCCATCTGCCAAATCACAGGGCCAGGGCTTGGCGGGGAAAGGCCGGCAGCCCGAAAGGCCGCGCTTTCATGCAACGGAAGGGGACACGCTTTGAACTTCAAGGGAGCTGGGATCAAATGGAGAAGCAGCTGCGTGCACAGCCGCTGTGCTTCTTGGAGGCCCCGAGGCTGCTTTTGTACACCAGCACCTGAAGCCCACCCCCGATGTGATTTTAAATGCTCAGGCCTGAGCCATTAGCTCCAAACACGCCTTTACCACCACCCACCGAGAAAGAAACAGTGCCACTCGCCACAGCGCTGGCTCAGGCAGCCCCACGGGCAGCAGCACACCCACACCTGGGGTCAGGCACACGCCATGCGTGCTGTACCTTTGCAGTCATTGTCCTCCGTGAGCTCATAGCCAGTGCCGCAGCTGCTCTCCCGCTGGCAGCGGAAAGAGCCCACGGTATTGATGCAGGTCTCTCCAAGCCGGCAGCTGTGGCTGCCTGTGATGCATTCATTGACGTCTAGGAAATTAAGGCGACACAAGGATGACCAGCAAGAACAAACGGATCCTTACACTTTAGCAGAAGGAAAGTTCCAGCAGCCACATGGAGCTGCTTTCCTGCATTGACCGAGTTGTCTGAGCAAACTGAACAGAGTCCTACCAGGTACAGCGAGGGCCATGCCCTGCAGTGGGATCAGGAGACTCGTGACCACAGAAAACCTGTGATTCTCCACCTGCCTGCAGACTCCAGAGCAGGGCACAGCCCGTCCCAGGCTGCTCGCCTCTGAATGGGCACAGCCCGGTTCAGACCTCCAGGCAGGCTCTGGAGCGCAGCCACCTCCCCGGGGAACTTTACCTTCGCAGGAGACGCCATCAGGCATCAGCTGATAGCCCACGAAGCAGGAGCAGACCACCTCGTCCCCCGTGTCGCGGCACTGCTGCTTGCAGGGCCCGCCACCTGCAATCAGAGCCACTGTGAGCCAGGCAGTAGCTGAGACGGCTTTTGGTTTCCCAGGACTGTCAGGGTGGGGTCAGAGAATGCTGACCCAGGGGACCCCCTGACTGTCGCCCTGCCACCGCAGGTCCCTGACCATCTGAGGCTATGGTGCAGCTGGAAGGGAGGACCAGGCTCTTGACAGCCTCCACCTGCCCGGCTGTGTAATTCTCATGCCAGCCCCACTGTCCCGTTTCAACTGCCACCACCAAGCCCCACTATGGTCACAGCCTCCACCCGCCTGGTTTCTCCAGGGATCCCTGGTCCCACCCCCATAAACCACGCTCCTCGCAGGGCAGCCCAGAGTGCAAAAGTTCCGCAGGGCCCTGCCTGCTCCTCCTCCTCTTCCTCAGTTCCTCCACTCCTTGCACACCAGCCCTGGCTGCGGGGTCCTGCACTGGCCACTGCTTTGTCGTCCTGGCCAATCCCTCCTCATTTGTTGCAAAGCAGCGGTCCTCCTCCCAGGAGGACCCTTCCACAGCCCTCAGAGAGGGTGCCCAGGCTTTCTGGGCCTCTCTATCCCTCCCTCTTGACCTCGGTACCCATGCTCACCAGGCACTGACCACATCGTTCTGTGACTCAGTGGGCTCCCTAATTCACAGCCCAGCCACAGAGTGGGCAGCGGGTAAAGCCGGGGGGCAAGCTGCCCGTCCACACAGGCCAGAATGCTTGAGGGAGAAATAAAGTCGCAGAGCGGGGCACAAACCTGCAAGGCCCTGCCTAAGATGGTGAGCCTCCAGGGACGGAACCCAGAAACACCCAGGGGCCTCCCAGGCCCGGGGAAGGTGGCAGTCATCACCCCCAGAGCTGTGAGTGTGGTGGGCTTGGCCCACCATTCACACCTGGGCCTCCTCTGCGGTCCCCTCCTGGCTCCAGGCACCTGCATTTGATTCCCACCGAGGGCTCCTGGGGCCCGGGGTCTCACCTCGACAGCGGTCGTTCAGGTAGGGGTCCTCCTGTTCCTCCTCAGCAGCAGCAATCTTAGCTAGGAGAGAAGAGAGCCCGGGGCCAGATGAGGCGAAGGTGGCACCATCTGATCTCGGAGGAGACAAGCACCCCCCTTCCTGCCAGTCCCGGGGGTCAGTGCCCACTTGCAATCTTTTTATTTACTTGTCTTTCTTTTTGAGACAGTGTCTCTCTATGCGGTTCAGGCTGGCCTTGAGCTCACTTTGTAGCCCAGGCTGGTCTCACACTTGCAATGATCCTCCTGCCCCAGCCTTCTGAGCGAGTGCTGGGATCATAGGCGTGTGTCACCATGCCCAGCTTGTAAATTTTAAAAACAGCCAAGTACTCATTTTGTCCTCATTAAAAACAGAATTTTACTCATAAAGGTAGCTGAATCTCTCGAAGGGCCATTGCAGCAGAAAGGACCGAGGCACAACGGCCTATAATCATTAACTTCAAGCCTGCTATGTGACACTGCCAGGCTTGCTAAGATATTTCAGCTCACTCGTCAGGATGTGGCTGCAATGACATTTCTTTCAGATGAGACATTAATATTTAAGTCTCTGGATGCAGAGTCAAGCAGGTCTACTCCCACCGTGTGGGTGGGCCACACCCAATCAGCTGAAGGCCTAAAGGAATGACCTCCCCCAAGGAAGAGGGGCTTCTGCAGCTGACAGACTCAGATCCTAAATGCACACCAGCTGGTCCCTGGGTCTCTAGCCCACAGCCCCCAGCCCCCAGCCCCCAGCCAAGAGGCAACTCCTTAAAATAAAACTCTCCCGACACACCATGCTCTATCCTTGGGGGACAATTCCAGGATCCCCGAGGACACCAAGGCCCACAGCTGCTCACAGCCTTTCAGATGTCCGTGACACTGTGTGGCCTCTCTCACACTCTCACTCTGCAGCATTCTAACTACCTAACATGATGCAAATCCACTCAAACTGGGTTCAGAAGACCGCAACCCGGAAATGCCTGCCCAGGCTCAGCCCAGGTGCACTCTCTTCCACAATATTTTCAATGTGTGGGTGCTTGGATCCACATATATAACAGCCGAGGACAGGGAAAGGGAAGTGTGTACACACAAAGGTACATATGCAAAGGTATGCATACACTGATGTACACACAAATGAACACGCACACACAAACATATACACACAAAAGTACTCCCACAAGTATATATACACATACACAAATACAAATGCATGTACACATTTACAAATGTACATACACACAAAGATATACACACAGCATAAAGATATACACAAATATAAACACAAATGTACACACATAAATTTACATATACAAATGCATACACACACAAGTGTTTATATACATGTATACAAACATACGCAGGTGCACACATATACACAAATGTACACACACAAGTGTATCTGCACATATCACAAAGGTACGCACACGCTGATACGCACGTGTGATACGGACAGACACACATCCTGGAAAAGCCTGACAATACACTGCCCAGGAGGAACGCTGGAGTTACCATTTTCCTGGGGGTCCCCCACGTCGCCGGGGGCGAAGTCTGTGCTCTCCTGGCCCCGGACGCAGCAGGCTCGGAACACCAGCCCGCACTGGTAGCCCAGCATGAGGCTCGGCTCGCAGCTCTGGGCCTGGGCCTGGGCCGCGCGGCCCAGCAGGCAGCAGTGGCAGCACCTCTGAGGAGAAGGCAGACGCAGGTCAGCACCCAGGGCTGGGGGCACTCCACGGCCTCCCTGGCGCCCTCGGTCCACGCCCCAATGGCAGGGCGTGGGTCTGCTCGGCCACTTCTGTTAGGCGTGGGCGCAGACAGTGCAGCACATGCAGCTCCCGAGCCTCCTAGGCCAGCGATCAGCAAGGAACCCCAGGGCTGGCAGCTCTCCCCACACCCCCGATCAGCACAGTACCCCCAATCCTTGCCCTTCCCTCCCGCCCACCTCTAACAGTCCCAAAGGATCTCTTCTTCTCCACTACCCCTGAGGAATGACACGCATGTCTCTCCCCTCTCAAGTTTGGGAGTTCAGGCCCCACTTGAAGCATACACACTTGCAGGCATCAAGTAGGGCAAAAACAGGGCCACTGCCTATTACGTGGACCCCAGTTCCCAAAAGTGACACCTGAGTGCTCACACCCGAGCCCCAGGGTACACATTCCCCTGACTCTTATAAAGTCCCATTGCAGTGCTTCCCAGAACATTCCAGAACATTCCAGAACTTTCACAGTAGGTGCAAAGGGTGTGACTTGGCTTTTGGCATCTGTGCAGGCTGAGGGGTCTTCCTCACTCCCTCTGATTTAGAAAAAGCCCACTAGAATGTTCCTGGCCACGCCCACCTGGCACGCCTCCTCACTCCGCCTGGCCCAGGCGTCTGATGCTGACCAGGCTGGGCAGGTCATCACAGCCGGGTCCTTACCTTCACAAACATGGCCTCGAGACTGGTGTTGTCACCGGGGGGCGTGCTGCAGCTGTACTGTTCGTTGGCCAGGTTGATGCCCGTGGTGCAGTGCAGCTCCTCCAGCTGGCTGTGGCAGCACTGCTCCTGGACCATCCTGCGGGGAGAGGGGCTGAGCAGGACTGGGCAGGGGCCGGCACCGCGCTCGGCTCCGGCGAGGAGCCCTGTCCTCCGGGTGCAGACTGGGCTCTGGGGGTGGGGCATCGTGGAGACAGCACCCTGAGTTCTCTCACACTTGCTTAGAAACCAAAACCCAGCCAGGCACAGAGCCCAGCCACCCAGCTCCTCTTTCCTGGAGCTGAATTTTCCGGGCTCACCTCCCCTTTCTGGGCTGGGAAGAAAAGCCTTGTGACACAGTGTGCTCAAAACAGCGCTGGGGGCAGGAGCGGGGACAGTGCCTGGCCACATCCCGTTTCCTGCAGACGCTGAGGGTCCAGGGGAGGACAGAGCAGGCTCCTCACACAGAGCCGGGAGCCCACGACAGCTCAGGCCCGGAGAACAGCCCTGCAGTGGGAGGTGTGCTGTTCCAGGCGGCTCCGTCCACACCCGAAATAGCCCCAGCTCCAGGCCAAAGCCAGGAGGAAAAACACCCTACCCACGCCCTCTGGGAAGGTCCATCCTGCCTCCCTGTGCGGCCAGCCAGGCCCCCCTGGAGGGGGCAGCAGCACTCTGCTCCCATGCCTTGGGGCTGGAAATCAGGCCGGGTTCTCTGGGAGTCTGCAGAACTCCTCTGGGGTCTGAGACGCATTTTTCCATCCCGTGCCAGGATGCATGCCACTCGTGCTTCCGGCAGACCTGCAGGTGGCACTGCCCTGGGCCGCCAGAGCGACGTTCCTGCATCCTTACCAGATAGGCAAGCATTCATTCAAAAGCCACCCGCCAAACAGAAAGCAGGGAACGCTGGCCAGGGTGCGGAGAACCTGGAAGCCTTGTGCCTCGCTGGCAGCAACGGAGCACGGTACAGCTGCCGTGGAAAACAGCGCGGAATTTCTCAAAAAGCGTAAAAATAGAATTACGACGGGAGCCAGCAATCCACCACGGGGACCCGGCCAAGAGAACTCGGAGCAGGGCCTCAAAGAGAAGTTTGCCCGCCTGTTTCGAGAGCGGTATTATTCACAAGAGCCGGGGGGCAGCAGCCACCCCAGCGCCTCCAGATGGAAGAATGGATAAACAAAGGGGTCCCGCCGCACGGGGACGGTATTCAGCCTTAAAAGGAAGAAAACCCGGACTCAAGCCTTCGGGGCCTGACGCTAAGGGGCAGAAGCCAGCCGCCAAAGGGCCCAGCCTGGGGGAACCCACTCAGAGCCATCGAACTCAGAGCCAGGGAACTGACCAGCGCCGCTGGCAGGGACTGGAAAGAGAAGGGATTTGGGGGGCACTTCCTGCCTAACAGTCAGAATTTCCATCTTCAAGGTCGAAGGCGGGTGGCGGTGATGACTGCACTGCAATGTGAACAGGTCCACTCAAAAGCAGCTCAGGGGATGTGCGTCACCTGACACACATCTGACCTGTTTTGGTTTTTCATGTTTTGAGATGGGGTCTCATGATATAGCTCAGGCTAGCCTTGCAGCGATCCTCCTGTCTCAGCCTCCTGAGTGTTTGGATTGCAAGCGTGCCACCACCAGCTGTGGTCTGGCTGTGCTGGCTCTGGGGACAGGATGGGAAATGCCCCTCTCCTTGTGGAGCAGCAGATATTAAACTTTGCCCAAGCCGGGAAGGAGCATTACGGGGCATCTGGGGCGCTGCCTCCAGGTCACCACTCTCGTCCAGTTGTTTCGAGGGTCCCAGAGCCCACTGCAGCAGTGCCTGGGGATTAAGCCATCCCGCCCGGCGTCCAGGATGTGACACCTCCTGCAGCTGGGTCTCCCCTTCCCCCAGCGGCTGATCCCCAGGTTGGTAGAGCTGATCCAGAAGTGTTAGCAGCCTGGCAAAGGATGGGTCAAATCAGAACATGGTGTCACACATGACAGTGACGGAGAAGGAGCTGTGACCCATTCCAGTCTGTAAAGCTCCAAGGGCGTGGGGGAGGGCAGAGCCGTAGCTCCCCTTCCAGGTTCCAGAAAGCACAAAGGCTCCAGGGAACCCAGTCTGAAAAACAAAACACAAGCCATCCCCAGCAGCCCTTCTGGGCAGAGAGGGAAGTGGGTCCTGTGTGGATTCCCAAACCCGCGGGTTGGGAGGGCCCTGTGTGTCCCAGGGAGCCTGGCGTGTGAGGACCCCAGGGTGTGACCCTTGCCCTGCAAGTCACCTCTGGGCTTTAAATGCCACCTCCAGCTGAAGCTGTCCCTCCGGCCCTTGGCCCAGCTTTCCCCACACTCCTGACCAGGCCCAGGGCCCCATGCTGGGGCCCAAACCTGCTCTGCTCCTCCCCTGCACCCCAGCCTGCTCTGCACAGCGTCCCTTCTGGTCCAGACACGCTGCCTGCCCAGCTGCTCCAGCAGAAGCCGGGCCACTGACACCGCCTCTGAATCCTGCTGCATTCCTCATAATGACAGCTGGCTCCACCGTTTCCCAGGCGCCCACCTGGCTTGTCCCACCTGGATTTCGGAGCAGCCAATGATCCCCAGGCTGCTGCCATCTTCCTCACCTGCCACACAGGTGCCTTTTCCAAACAGTTCACACAGACATGCCCCGGCCCGGCCGGGCTCAGGGCCCACTCCAGTCCAGCCTCTCAGGCGGCCACGTGGCCCTGGACGGCAGCCCTGCAGCCTCGGGCCATCCTGGTCGCCTCCCCTCTCCCTCTCGTCGTCCTGCCTGGCTCAGGACACCCCTACCCGCTCCATCTGGCCACCCTGGCCCCTGACTGCACAGCCTCCTTCAGGTCTGGGCCACAGGTCCCTTTCTACAGATGCTTTCCTGTCCCCAAGAGCTGTGACCCCCAAATCAACCCTGACCCAGGACTGCGGCACCCCCAGCACATGCGGCTTCTAGGGTGTGACCCTAAGGTTTGCTTCCTGTTGCCTGTGCCCCCGTATGCTCATTAAGGCCAGGCTGGGCTCTAGTTTGTACCCTGATTACCCCCCGAACACCCTCCAGGACGCTGATAGCATGGTAGGCCTCCACCTCGTGGTTTCCAGTCCTCCTGGAGTGGACGAGGGAAGAGAAGGTTTCACCTGTAGCCAGGTTGTGTATGGATTTAATCCTAAGAACCATGGGGCCTGGGCCAGGGCCCAGAGAGCAAACTGAGGCAGGAGCAGGGGACAGCAGAGGCACCGTGCCTGGCCACTCTACAGTCACCATAAAGCTGCGGATGGATGGCTGGCCGGCTCCTCACCTGGGTCCTCGCTGAGCCCCTCACCCACCCCCAACTCCTGCCCAGGATGGCCTGGCAGGGAGCTCACCCGCCCTGCTGGCTCCTCGCTTAAGGTCCTGACCTTGAACTGGTAATGGGATGGGTAAAGAGGGGTGAACGGATGGAAACCGAGAATCTAAAACAGGGGAGCCTCACAGAACACCGCTTCGAAGCAAGAAAAATACAAAAATAACAGACGAACCAGTGGTCACTAACACCTGCCCACTGTGTCTTTTCAGTATCTCTAGCAGAGGACCCTCACGCCGGAGTTGGTCACTCTCTCTTCCTTTCCTTCATGAGAAACCTGAACCCTAGACCCCTGGGAAAATCCCTTCCACTCAGTGCCCTGTGCAGTGGTCCTGGCCGGCAGGCCCTACCCTCCCCTCATCCTGGACTTGATCCTCCTTGGGAACTCAGACTCCCAAGGGGCTGGGAGGGGATCCCCACAGCAGCACCCCAGGCCTGCCTGCTGAGTTCTCAGACCGCACCCATCTCCCCTGGAGTCTGTGTCTGCGTACGTCATGGGGTGCAGATCTCATGTGAACAGGACACGGGGACTGGCACAGTGGCCGCAGAGGGGGCTGGGGACAGCGCCCAGCCACAGGGCAGCATCCTGTTAGAGCCACTCGTCCTCTCTAAGAGGCCTCGAAAACACGCTCTGTGCCCTGCCTGGGTCAGTGAACTGGCCCCTGTGGGTCTCGGTGAAACAAAGGATGGACACTCGCTTTGGGTACGCCACAAGTGGTTCAGTGACAGGGTCTGGTGATGCCATAGCATGGAAACACAGGGTCTCTCCAGGCCATGCAGGACAAAGTGAGCGGCACCGGAAACGAGCCGGGAGGTCACTATGGAGCCTGGATGGGCAGCCCCACTTCCGGCAGGGAGAGGACGGCCTTCTCGGCCATGCAGGGGGCACTTCTCACACTCAAGAGGAAGCTGGAGCCTGGGCCACCACACACAGGACCAAAGATGGCTCCAAAACCCACCAGACACTGGAGGGAAGGACTGAAATCCCAGTTCCCAGCCAGCATCCAGGTGACCGAGCCTTGGGCCCAGGTTCTCTGCACCCTGAGGGGCTCAGCCAGCTGGCGTCACACTTTCCAAATCACAGACAATCACAGCGGCGGCCAAGAGGTCACCTGAGAGGTCCTCACCTGCAGGTCTCAGGAGGGGACCATACTGATGGGACCCAGGGGCTTTACAGAGGTCACTGATGGACAACAAGGCCACCAGGCTGGGCTCTGATTCTCGCAGGAAGATGGGAAGAGGACACAGCGCTGGGGAGGGACCAGCCCTGCAGACAGCTTCATCTTGGACTTCGGGCCTCCACAACCGGGAGGAAATACGTCTGTTGTTTGAGCCACCTGCTCTGGGCGACTCCACCTTTGCATGGCTTGGTGCTGTAAACACCTGAACTCTGAAAAGGAGGTAACATGGCCCCAGTTTGGGGGAACCGAGGGTCCCAGCCGGCTCAGGCTGTGCGTGGCCAGCTCATTGCTCTCTGGGAACAACACTGAATGCCCAGATGTGACAGAACCATGGCTGCCCCTCGGATGCCTGCAGCCCCCAAGGTCACGGCTCACGTGCCCTCTGCCCCTGCCTGTGGGGCCCCCGCCCCCTCAGCAGCCTCGGCTTCCTGGTCTCCTCCTTTGTTCCGTCGCTAATGCTTTTGACTTTTTAAGGGCTTCCTCCCTCGGCCCGGTGTCACCCATCTCCACCACGGCAGCAGCAGCAGCGGCTGCTGGATGCCAACACAAACGCAAGCCTTCCTCAGGGAGGGACCGTGAACCAGCACAACACCACGGAACTCAGCACAGTGATTTCCCGGGAAGCGAAAATGAGAAATTCCACTTCACCCAGTTACTCCCCTCCGAGGTGTCTCCCAGGAGCGTGAGAGCCATCGCCTCACAAGACACGCACACACCCACGCTCACAGCAGCACGACCCCTAACAGCCAAGTCATGAGTTCGAATCCTAACGCCACTGCTTCCCAGCTGTGCCCACGGGAAAGCCCGGCTGCCTGGTGTGGAAAACGGGGTTAATCACAAGGCTTAATGAGACAGTGTGTGTCAACTTTGGGCTCACTACTGTTTCCATGACCACCCACGTCCCCTCTTTTCATCTGGAACGCTCTATACATTTCCCAAAGTGTTGAGGGTGCCCGGGTGAATTCAGGGAGAGAAGGCAAATTGGTCAGTCTGGGTGTCAGCTGTCATAGAAGTTGAACCACCATCTGGGGAGGTCTGGGTTCTAGGCTCATCTGACTGCCCAGGGTTTACATCGGAAGTGGGGTGAGGTCCATGTGTCCCCCGGAGAGCAGCTGCAGCCATGTGATGCCCCCCGCCCCGATCCCCACAACAAACCCCTTTCTCGGGAGGAAGCCAGCCTGGCTGTGGGGATCTGGGCTGCAAAACCAGACCCAGCTCCCAGGCCAACAATGAGGAACAACACAAGCCCTGAGCGGCCAGGACGGGGAGCCCAGAGGGAGGAGGAGCGGTGCAGGGGCTCCCTGAGGGTGAGCCCTGCTCAGGTCCAACGGTGGCCAGGGACAACTGTACCTGCATTCCTTGGATTCTGGGGCATATGGCAGTGAGCAGTCCTTGTGCTGAGTGGCCATCCGGTGTCCATCCGCACAGCAGGCCTCCATGAGGACGTCTGCATCCACTGTGCGGGGAAGAGAACACACTGATGAGGGACTGGCCGCATGCCCAGCATGGACCTCACCCACCAGGTGTACGCTATCCGGGCTCCCTGCTTGTTTAATAGCAGATGGGGTCTGGCAGGGTCAGTGGGCACAAGGCCACATCCTTTAGTCACTCTGCAAACCAGTACTCAAAGCATGCCTGGAGCACACACCTGAGTCCCTCCCAGAAAGACTTGAGCGCTGCTCTGGCAGGTGCAGCTCAGCCACACACTGGAGACCTGGATGGGGTCCCTACTACATGGTCCAGTGGGCAAGCAAGGGTTAGAAGGCCTCACTGGGCACTGTCCAGCCCAGCAGCTGGGGAGCGTCCAGGGACCAAGGAGCCTGACTCCTTCCCCAGGAGACCGGAAGACACCCAGGAGACACCCGCACCCCTAGAGCTTATGGGAGGGGTGTCAGGGCAGCCATCCAGAGGAGGAGACTGGGGCTGTTGCTGCTCCTCCCCTGCCACACAGAGCTCTCTCCTGCAGACAAGGAAACTCGGAAGAGGTCAGCGATGATGCAGCTGGCTGGGCAGGGAGCACCGGCCTCACTCAGAAGTACCAGCCCCTTGGCCCAGCGCCTGCCCCACACCCTCGGCGTCAGACAGAGCCACAGCCCAGATGGCAGGCCAGCCAGGCTCCTCAGCTCAGGTAAAGCACAGGATTCCACCCTGCCTCCTCAGCCCCCACACCTACTGCTCTTGGCCTGACCTGCCTTGACTTCAGGGCAGGTCGCCTCTCAGCAGATGTGACAAAATGGACTTTCAGAAACACCCGGCTTCCCTACTAATGGCTTCCAGTGCCCCGAGCCAGCAGCTTGGCTGTGTTCACAGCCCAGCAGCTGAGTGGGTGTTGGGGCTGAGGTCACCGCTTTTCCCGGGCCAGCTCTCGGGTGGCCCTGCCCTCTGGGGCCCTGGTCCCCACCATCAGCCCTCAGCCAGCATGAGCTGTGGGTGCCTCAGCCTGCTCAGGAGGTGACAGGAGGACAAAGTTCCAGGTGAGTGTGGCCGGTGCAGACCAGCTAGGCGGAGGCCAGGAAGGGGGACCCGGCTTGAACATGTCCCCAGTGACCTGCATCAGCCCTCTGCCCCCGGGCTCCTGGGCCACTCAGAGCTGCTTCCTGCACCCCATCCTTATCATCACCGGGTTCCTGGGGTTACCAGGAAGCATGACCCGCTATCCCATAGCAAAGCCTTCTGGTCTGCTCTGATCTCCACCTCGGGCATCCTCTGTAGTCCCCACTGGGGCGGCGTGGTGACAATGCAAACTCCTCTTGGGCTGGCACTCCGACTGTGCAGCACTGGGCATGAGGGTGGTCCCTCAAGGGAGCCCACCACCCCGGATCCCCTTGGAAGCACCCGTTGGTCCATTCACACAGATATTTTTGCTCCAATTTTTTTTTTTAAGCATTCACAAAACTCGGACCTTCTCCATGCACACAGCGATGGTGACGTGCCCAAGCCTGGTAGCCTGACATCAAGGCTGCTGTCCCCCAAGCAGCAGTCCCTGTCCCCCAGAACCCCTTCACCCCATCCCTCGGGGCTTCTGCAGCTCAGCCTCAACCCAGGCCGAGCATCCCAGCAAGACGGTGCTGCACCCCCACACCCACAATGTCCTGCTGGTCAGCGGTGCCGACTCAACCTCAGGGCTCCTGCGAGCAGGGCCAGGTCCTGTTAGTCTCCTTCACCTCAGCACAAAACCCAGCTGCAGCAACCACAGAGCAAAGGAAGAATGTCCGTCAGCTCTGGAGCCAGACAGACTCGGCCTCCACGGCCACCCAGCTCCGTGGCTAAGTCCCCTGAGCCATCTGCAGCTTCTTTGGACATAAAACAGGGCTCTTGTTAGACCGCCACGGAGCTGCTGAGGGTTCGTGACATTACAGAGTGGCAAGCACACAGTGAGCTCGCTGGTGACGGTGCCCGAGTGGTGTGACCAGGGACCGCAGGGGTGACTTGTTGTGGCCCTGAGAAAGAGGAGCCACCACCCCAGTGAAACCGAAGTCCCTGGCCTCCCTTGGACACAGAAAGGCAAACGAAAGCCCGGAAGGGCAGGAACTGTGCTGGAGGGGCGGGAAAGATGGAAATGTCCAGAAGATTCCCGCTGGGGAGCCTGGCGCACTTTGAACCTTGCCCTCAAGCAGCACAATCAGATGTGGAACTCGGAGCCACAGAGCTGTCCGGGAACCTCAGCAGGAGCCAGCCACAACTGCCTGGCACCAGAGATGTCCCATCAGGGGGACATGGACCTCAGAGAAGCCAGGAGGAGCCCAGCAGGGGCGGCAGCCAGGCTGGACAGGGAGGACACAGACAGACAGACAGACAGACAAGTGCGGAAAGGTCCGGGCATCATCTTTTTTCTTTCTGGTATCAGGAATTAAACTCAGGACTTTGTGCTTGCCAGGCAGGGGCCTGGCACCTGGCACTCACAGACCAGTCCCCACCCCACTCCTGAAATGCCCCCGATCGCGCACGCCAGGCACGTGGTGGCGAGGGCCACTATCTCCTGCCCCTTCCGCCCCTGCCTGGGGACGGAGGTCGCTCCCCACGTTTCACTCTGCGGCAGGAACAAACAGCTCCAGGTAGAACCCTGTCATTTAAACAGAAAGTCACAATTATTTGCTTAGGCCAGTTGGGGGGAGGGCAATGGGACAGGGAAGGACATTTCCGAGCTCGCAGCCTGCCTGCGGGCGTCCAGCATGCTCAGCACTGAGCGGCCTGAGGGCTGTGCCCAACCCAGAGGTCTAGGTATTTGCTGGGGAGGAGAATGCAGCTCTGAGTGAACAGAGAAAATTCCTCCGGCCAGCCCGGGTCTGAGCTCCTCGCTTCCCGGGTAGGAGGTCGATTCCGCAGCCCCCCCACCTCTGGCAGTCGGGGCCCTCTGGATCCCCCGACTCCCATTCTTCCCCTCCCATTCACTGTGCCCTCACAGCAAACCCTCACTAATGGCTCGGCCACCAGTGGATCCCGAGTGCCCAGCCAGCTCTGCCTGGCACTCGCCTGCGTCTCCACCGTGGCTCTGGCCCTGCCGAGATTCTGGCCACCTCTGAGGCCACTCTGTTCCAGCTCCCCTGGAATTAGAATCCCCTTCGCAGCCAGGAACAGCGTCTTTCTCCTCTCACTGGCCCTGCTGGGTTGAGGCTCAAAGTATTAGCTCCCCAGAACCAGGGAGCTGGGAGCAGGAGCACCTCCAAAACACACTTGGGTGGGACACCCTTGCCCCGAAAATGGGCCCCCTTCTCTCACCTTCCTAGGCAAGAGGAAGTGACCCAGAGGGCAGGCCCAGGCAGGCAGGGGTCACCACTGCCATGCATGAGGCTGGCAGGGAGTCCAGCACGTGACCACAGAACTGCCACTTCCTCAGCCCAGGGGCCATTCCACTGCCCGGGTGGGCTCAGTCCTGGTGGCCTCCAGCCCCTTCCAGGAAAACTGAGCTGCAGGGGTAGGTGGGGTGGGGTGGGGGGGACAGCCTGGAGAACCCTGCGTCTCAGCTCGAGGTGGAAGGGATCCTTAAAAGATGTGTGTGTGTGTGTGTGTGTGTGTGTGTGTGTGTGTGTGACAAGGTCTGTTATTAACCAAAAAATACAAAGCTGCCCGAGTCGTTCCAAGGTTTTCATGAGACAGGGCCAGGCCAGGAAGCACAGAAGCCAATGCCACACCCTCCCCGGACCAGGCAGTTAGAAAGGCAAACCGCTGTTTTCAGATCCATCCTCCTTTTAAATAAAGAAGCTTTGCTTATTTACTCATTTATTTATGAAAAGCAAAAGAGTGGGGCTGGGTGGCCATGTCTACAATCCCAGCACTCCAGAGGCTGAGTCAGGAGGGCTGCCCCAGTTCAAGGCCGGACGGGGCTACATGATGAGTTCCCCACCAGCCTGAACCACAGAGGCCTTGTCTCAAAACAAAAAAATGATTTCAGGAAAGTTTGGTGGCCCAGAAAAAGGTACCTGCAAGGACTTGAGACAGCGGAGGCCAGGGAGGGGTGTGGGCAGAGCCCTCTGGCTGCCAGCCCACTCACTTTTTTCTGCCCATGTTGTTTTAATGCTCAAATCTGAGCAGTGTAAAGAGCGTGCTGGGGTCCTGGGGAGCAGCAGGGGTTAGGGACCCAAGCGATTCCACAGTAAGCCAGGGCCTCCAAACAGGAAGTAGCAACACTCAAAAGGGTAACCTTGCAGCACAATAAAGGTGACTGTAAAAATTTACGGAGACAGAAACCTGCTCCTGGGGAGGTCTACCCCCCGGGTGCTGGGAGGCACCAGGTATTAGAGTGTGTGTGTGTAGGGGGGGGGACAAGGAACTGGCCTACTGTGGCCTCCTGACACTTCGAAGATTGTGAGATTTGTGACCCCCTCAAAAAAGCCTGGGCCCTCTAAGGGCAAAATCCAATAGGGTGAGGACGGCAGTTTTGATGCCCCAGCTCAAGGTACCTATGAAGTCCCATCTACCTGTGTGCCAAGGTCCCAATGGCACAACGCTCAGCGTAAACCAAGAATAAACTACAAAGTGCACTTAACCTTGGATCACACGTCCCAAGCAAAGGCTGAATTCCTGGAAATCCCAGCGCTCTAGGAGGCTGAGGCAAGAGGATGCAAGCTTGAGCCCTGTCTGGACAACTTAACAAGACCATATCTCGAAAAAAAGCTGAGAAGGTTGCTCAGTGTACAGGCCCTGGGTTCAACTCCAGTCCTGAGAGAGAAATTCGAAGCAAAGCACCGCGAAGCCGGCCTGATCCAGGTCCCCTGCGCCTCCCGCCAGCCCTCACCAGCCCTCCACAGGCCTGCTCTCCTTTGGGGTACAGTGTGTTGGGGGTCGCCTGCTGCGTAAGACTAGGAAGATGAACAAGGTCACCAGGGAAAGTGTTTCACTCAGTAATTTGCCCGCAGGAAAGAACAGAATCCTCAAAGGAGACACAGCCCGCACACGCCACGCCACGCCCGGCCCACGGCACATTCCTGCAGGCGGGGCCACACTTGTGCAGAACAC